TCCGGAGGAGAATTCTCGTACCCTAATATTTTCTTCTTCTGGTTGTCTTGTTATTAAAAAGAGTGGTATAAGTCTCCGAGCAGGAGCGCCCCGATTCCAGGCAGGCCCCGATTCCAGGCAGGCCCCGATTCCAACTTCGTGGCCCAGGGCGGAAACCCGAACTTGGACAAGAACTTGGACAAGGAACTTGGACAAGTTTTATCACGTGTTTTCCTCTTGCAGAGCCACTTGTCCAAGTTCGCCCGGGGAACTTGGACAAGGAACTTGGACAACTGCGGGCTGCCGTGTTACAAGCTCTCTCAGTATTACGCCCCGATTCCAGGCAGGCCCCGATTCCGTGTGCCTCGCCCCGGCGGAAACCCGAACTTGGACAAGAACTTGGACAAGGAACTTGGACAAATTTTATCACGTGTTTTCCTCTTGCAGAGCCACTTGTCCAAGTTCGCCCGGGGAACTTGGACAAGGAACTTGGACAACTGCGGGCTGCCGTGTTACAAGCTCTCTCAGTATTACGCCCCGATTCCAGGCAGGCCCCGATTCCGTGTGCCTCGCCTCTCTCTTTAGAGGGCGTTTCCCAAATGGATTCTATTCTACCTGAGAGGCTCCCAGCACTCGTCCGTCCAGCATTTGACCTCGTCCTGCGAAGGATTCGAAGTCTAAAACGCTGCGTGCAGGCGTGTGGCTGCAAAATAATGACCCCTAGATATGCGCCGCAATTTGGCTCCAGGTTGCATTTCAAGCGATGTCAACCTTTGCCAAAGGAAACCCCTTTTCCCTTTTTTTCGGGGACCCCTTTTTTTGGGCCTTTTTTTTTTTTTTTTCCTTTTTTTTTGGTTTTTTCTTAGCCCTGCAAAGGTTGGCTCGCTTGAAATGCAACCTGGAGCCAAATTGCAAGCATATCTAGGGGTCATTATTTTGCAGCCACACGCCTGCACGCAGCGTTTTAGACTTCGAATCCTTCGCAGGACGAGGTCAAATGCTGGACGGACGAGTGCTGGGAGCCTCTCAGGTAGAATAGAATCCATTTGGAAAACGCCCTCGATCAGATTCGATCCCTGCTCCGCCCACCACCCACAGTGTTGCCCTCACGCCGCGTGTTCGGCACCAGGCCTACAATGCCCAGGCCGTATGGCCCAATCCGTCCAGCTGAGCCCTCCTCCTGCCCAGCTGCAAGCCACACTGAAGGACAAGTGTACGGCCGAATGGGTTTTGATACTCAAATCCTGCGTCGCTAGCAGTGAGCTGGCAAGCCCTGGAAGCCTCGCAGCACCCTCAGATTCTTGTTGAAGCATCACTGCGAAAATTTTCGGGGGGCACGCTGTCGCAGTACCTCCCGCCTTTTTCTCCTTTGTACATTCAGTGCGTGTGACTTGCTGAGCCTTACCCTGGCCCACCTTTCAGACTTCATCGCAGGCTGCCATGTGCCAGGCACAGCACTTAAATGCAGTGCCATCATGATGAGCAGGCACTTCTTGGTTTGCACGCATTGGGCAAGTATCTAGCCTGTTAGACTTGATGAACAGCCCCTTGCCACTGGCCATTCTTGCAGCCTGGGAAGAACACATAGTGTCCCCCGCGTGCACGCCCGCTGTGGGCCTGCTACTAGGTGCCCTGCTTTTGTGCGCCCATTGCAGCCTAAGATTTGGCGACATTCAGAGAATCAAGCCCTCCGCTCTTTCACTGTCTGCACAGGCACTTAGGCCTGTGGGCCACCAAAACTACCTGCCAAGGACAGCCTGCCTTTTCGGTTTCCGGGGTGAGGATATCAGCACATCCTGGCTAGTGAAAGTGGCTGGCCCTGCTCAGTCAAGCCCTTGACGCCACCCACTCCGAATGGGAAGACTCTTCATTTTGCCCTGCATTCCAAACCTGGAATCTCACATATGCTCCAGCCTTTCACGCCCGATGTCCTATTTGCAGGCACAGTTGCCGTGGAAATCGGAGGCGGTCAGCTGGTTACTCAGCATGAGGCATCTTCGTTCACCCTTCACAGCCTTAAATGCGCCTTACTCAGTGCAGCTGCGCAGCTACGCCTGCCAGAAGACAGCAGAAGGCTTCAAGGACACCATCGCCTTTTGTCCGCAGACCACCTCGACCGATGGCTCAAGGGGGGCAACACCCTACCGTGGAACCGGCCTTAGGGCAGCCCTCCTAGCCACCTACCACTTCAGAGCCTCCCGCCCAGCCTGACAAGATTCCTGTATCACAGGGAAGCCTAGATGCAGATGAGGAAGCTCTTGCCGTGGTGCCCTGGGGATCCGTGCATGCCGTGCAGTGCACTCACAACAACTCAGTACAGACATCCTGTGGCTTGCACCTCAAGCATTGCTCGAACCCGGTGCATCAGATTCACCCCGGCCTGCAGCTCTGCAAACGCAAGGCGTGTATGGCCGTGCTGTGCTAAAAAAATCAACGCTCATGCGCCGCCTTGACTCACACAGCACCACCGAGACTGCACGGGTCGATCACTTAGGTACGCCCTTTCGAGGTCGGCAACTCAGCAGTGTTCAGGTGCCAGTCCAGTGTTGCCATCTGCACTGACTGTACGCATTCGCAGCTATCCTTTTTTGCCCCTCAAGCATTCGTTACTGATGCACATGGATCGCGATCGGCTACAGGACGTCCTGACAGAAGCCAGGGTCCCTGAAGGCCTGCGGGACCTCGTTTTGGCCAGAGGTTTCGACTGCCCGTCGGACTTCGCCTTTGCCTTCCCAACATTGCGGACTTGCAGCCTTTCATACCATCCCGCTGCCAGCGAGTGGCGCTCCACAGAGACCTCTGGCGCGTCGTCGAAAAAGGCCTGGCTTAGGAGCTGCAACTCCGAGCGGACCGCTCGTGCCGACTTTGCTTCCATGCGCTTCTGGTATTGCCGTGATGAAAGGCGATATTGCCAGAGCACCCACTTCAGGGATTGCCCGGACTTCAGGCCCTCGTCTGGACACGCGTTCGGATGTGAGCTTGGGTGGCAAGTGCTCTGCCCAAGATGCGAGTTGATTGGGCTGCATGCATGGCGATCCGGAACTGGCGGCCTGTTCGGAAGGCTCTGAGCGCAGGCTGAGCCGATGGCATTCGGCTAGGGCTTTCCTAAGGCGCGCAGTGTTTCGCCCTAGCCCTGTGCCAGCAGCGCACCTGTCCAACCTGCGACATGCCTTAACGCGCCCGTCCTTCTCGGCCGCCTCAGTAGGGCCACGACGCTCCGCGAGAAGATGCTGCTCCCGCAGCTGGTTAGAGTTTGCCGATGCCACGACTGCGCTGTGGTCCAAGAACACCGGGACGCACCCGGCGAGCCACGCTAAGCACCGACTTAAAAACTTGGCGCTTGTGGATTCGTTCCCGACGGGCGTGGCAACGTCACTGTCGCGCGCCCCTTCATGACGCGGGCTCGAAGACCCACTTGTTGCCAACCCGCCCGCTAGCACTTAAGAAACTGCCCACATGCCTGCCAAACTGCTGCACAAAAATGTTTCTTTCGGAGTTGTACCACACGAACCCTCAAGCTGCACGGTCCGGGCTTTAACATGTAACGACTTGCACATCGCACAAATGCAGCTGTTTTTGTTCGCGTCAAATGGGGGCGAACCTTGCTTTTGACAGACCCAGGAATACAGACTGTGGTGCGTTTAAGACGCGCCGAATGGCCAGACAAAAAATATGTCTTGGCCAAAGGGAAAAATACTTCTCTAGGGATCACCGGAAAAAAAGTTGCTTGTTTCCCCAAGCGGCCACTTGCGATCATGCGGGTCCGCTATTTTTTGAGAGAGACTGGAAAGATGAGCTGACAGTCAACTGCAGGCATTTGTGCAAACCACAGGATGGGCTGGGGATCAATCAGACTTGTCAGAAGGATCAGATTGGCTTGTTCACGTGGCAAAACATGAAACCGACTTCTGAAGAATCTGATTGCTTTGTGGGAAGGGTTAGATTGGCTTGTGGGGGTTGTTTTGGCTGTGCTCCAAGGCGCTGCGGCGCGTGAACAGGACGACCGAGCGTTTTTTCGTGTCCTCCGCTATTTCATTGTTTCTGAAGGCCATTGCGCCCTTCAAGCAAGGTTTCCGCGCTTCTTCGAGAACTGTTTTTTCTTCTGCAGAGTAGCTTCCTGCCAAAACCTCAAGCAAGCTTGTGCAGTCTCAGCGGGTTCGGAGAGCATTTTTTTGTTAGGTCTCGATGCGTTTAGGTGCAGTTGAGATTTTCATGACAATATCCGGGTGTCTGTGTTTCATTTGTTCTTGTTTGTCAGTAGTTTTTTTGTTTTTGTTTTTGTTCGGATTGCTTCTTGCTTTTCCCTGGTCAGCGGACGCTCCAACAGCGCACCCGCTCACGTGCGCCCGCTCAGCGCCTGGCAAATGGTGTGCGCACCCCCTTCAAGTACACCCGCTCAGTATCGCCTGCAAAATGGTAAGCAAACTTGGTTAAAATCGTGCATGTGTGCAGGACGTACGCATGTAGAAAACAATGTTGTGTGCACTTTGCTTGGTTGTGGTTATGCCATTGCTTTTGTTGCTATACCCATTGAGTACGGTCATGTTCGTCGTGGTGTCAGGCTCAAGAAACTGCAATAAATGCAGCGTTGCACATACAACCGGAGTTGATGGTAACTTAACACGTAGAACATGAATTTGTAATGCGACAGTGCACATTCAAGTCATTCAACACGGCTAGTTTGTGGCATGGGTTGCGCCTACATCAAATCAGGGCGCTCAACAGCACATTGGAACGTACTAGCAATTGACATCATGGTTTTTACAAATTGCTAGGCACGGTTGTGTAGGCACGGTTGTGATGCCATGCCAAGCAGGCGTGCGAAGCTTCTTTCAAGGCGACGGTTGCATTCAACGTCTCCTTAGTAGGAATGTTGCCGTTTATCGCCAGCATGGTACATGCTGACGCCTCTTCGATTTTTTGCGCAAATGGATGAGTCAAGCATTATACTTTTTAAGCCTCTCATGGACCCATCGCCCTTAAGCAAGGTTGCTCTGAGTATCAGAGCCAGTTGGCACCAGGTACCCTGGCCTTTTCAGCGGTTGTGCGGCGGCTGGAGCCTTGCGTTGGCACCGGAGAGTTGGATTGTGCCATTTTAAAACCAAGTTTCTTCAAGACATATTACGTGTCCTTTTCGTTGCAAAACACCTTGAAAATGTGTTTTGAGCACGTTTCCAAAAAAAGGTCGCAACTTCGCTTGCTTTGTATACGTTGTAAGTTGTAAACAGTGAGGCTTGCAGATGCGGCCCGCATCATCACTTGGCAGGCCGATATGCAGCCCTTGATGGACTGAACGACCCTGTCACAGCGTGATTGCATGCTTGCTGTGCACGAACGGAAACTCCGGGCCTTAAAGCTGACGAATGAAAAACGGATGCGTTGACTGATGCCCTCATGAAGTTCTCAGACACTCGGAGATTCGAGTGGCCAGGCCCGTCGGAGCTGGAGGCCCGCGAGCCCGTGGCGCGGTGGCATTGAAGAAGCCTCCAGGGCCTGGGCTTTTCGGGACCCACCTTTTTGAGATGATGCATACAACGATATCATGTACCCAGGGTGTTACACACGCAGTATGAACAGTCCAGTTGTTTCAAGAATGGCCACCCCTTTGCAGAAATTCTAGGCCTGCAGTGGAATACTGCTGATGTGAGGTTGGCATCGACATGGTTGCCTTTGGCCTGCTCGGGGCCAAGTCACTTGGTGGAGGTTGGAATTGTTTGTTTTGCAGAAGGCTTGGAAATGCAAGCTGTAAGGCACAGCAACGATATGGAATGTATCAGGTGCAACCACCTTTGCACTTGTTCCTCCAGCCCGAGCAGAGGAGGCATGACGGAATGCTTGTATTTTTGCGAATACATATTGGCGTGGTTAGGCCAGACTTTCGGGCCGGTTCAAACTACGCAAACAAGCAGCAGTGGACAACTCATGCTGCTGGACTTACCTAATTCTTGGTGGCATTCCAGAAGAATCATTTGTGAAGTTTGCTAAAAAACACAGATTGGCTTGCGTGTTGCTTTTTGCGAGGGTACAAAGGGAGCCAGTGACCAGATTCCAAGCAAGCAGTCACATGTAAAGCTTCAGTATCATTCATACTAGTTACTAGTCAGCTCCAAATTATTATGCAACCTATTGTTTTTCTATTTTTGTTTGTATGTATTCCTTTTGAAGTCAATGAATGGCTGGCGATGCTGTGCATGTTTTGTATTTTTTTTCCCCCAGATAGCTTGACGGCAGGGTGCCGGGGGGCATGCAGTTTGGGGTGCTGGCGGGTAGCTGCTGTTGATGATGTGGGCGGACGTTTTTCGAGATCGACGGCCGTGCTGAAGCACATGCAGTTTGGGGTGCTGGTGCAGGTGCTGCTTTGGGGTACTGTTTGGGGTGGCTGTTGTTGACGGTGTGGGCGCGATTGTAGTTTGTGACGGTGTGGGTGCATTGTTGCGTTTTGACGGCAGGGTGCTAGTACATGCAGTTTGAGGTTCTGGTGCAGATGCTGTTTCGGGGTGCTTTGAGGGCGCATTTTGTCGAGATTGACGGCAGGCTCGGTAGGGGGTGCTGGTTCGTGGTTGTGGTATCATCATTATGCTGACCAGGTAATCATGGTGTTGTTGAACCCATTGCAGCGTTATGGTTCGCGGGTCATGTAGCACCATGATTCTGTTAACATCATCATGACGATGCTGAATTTCACTACAATGTTGCTGGGTTCCAACAGCAGAAATCCATTTAAGCCCTGGGATCGATAATACCAAAGAACAGCCAAGGTGAGAAAGCGGTTGCTTGAAATGAGTGAAAACCGGTTGCGAAGGAAGTTCATGGGATTGAACCCCTCGTCTCTTGAATGAAGTTTGCGTCTTCAAGGCCCAGGCTAGAATCAATGTGTGTGTGTAGGTTGTCAAACCATGCGTTGTCGGCGATGTCATCCTGCGGCATGAGTGTTTGAGGGCAGAGTTCAACGCATGCTTGCCCAATTGAACAGTACTAGGTAGGCTCCTGTTTGTGGCACGGCGGTCAATCAAAACATGTTCTGAGCAGCCTAGGTACTTGTGATGTCCTAAAGCGAAGTCCAGTGAAACGGCACGCAATCCCTCAAGCAGGCCTCCCTCTACGAGGTGCTCGGGGTAGACCGCAATGCCACCGAGCAAGAGATCAAGAAGGTGCGCGCTGCCCCGCATAGGGCAATGGCAATGAGGTAGGCCGTTTTACGGGGGTTGGGCTTGCACTAATGCTGACGGTTCAATACCTGTATTTTTGTTGATTGCCTTGACCATTGTCCATCATGGTTGGCGGCTCCAATCAACCCTGGCCTTGTCGTGGCATGAATGGAGCATCTTAAGGTGGTACAACTCAGACGACTAAGGGCACAGGTTCTTGCCCTTGGAGTCTACACTTTTTAGCATTGTGCTTTGTGTTTTGGAATTGTCAGGTCTGCTGTCCATGCTCATGCGCATGTTGTGCTCTAGTTGGCAACAGCATTCGAGCCCTTTACCGACAAACATGTAGAGAGTCCCTTTGTGGAAGAGCTTCAAAGTCAAAGAGCATTTGTCAGCAAAGGTGAGTTGTGATGTCCTTTGGCTCGTGCACGCTCCCCGCAGGCCTACAAGCGCGCTGCAGTGAAGTTTCATCCGGACAAGGCACATACATTTGCCATGACTCTTCTTGTAAACGGAGTGCAGTCCATATTCCGTTCAAGAACCGGCTGACAGTCATTCACTCCTAGTTTAACTCCTCGGCTGGCAGCGTTCTGACGTGGATTTAGTGCTGCACTTGTGAAAGGCATGTTAAATCGCCTGAGGCGCACGAAAGCGAGCGGCCGCAGTACGAGGCAGAGTTGGATTTTGGCCACAGTTGCACTTTCTTTCGCGATTCCACATTGGGTTTTGCGCCACAGAGTGCCAGGAGCGCTTCAAGCGCATCTCGCGGGCTTACGAGATCCTCTCAGACCCAGAAAAGCGCCTGGGATGCCCAGAAAGGCTCACTCCACCGAGGAAAAAGACAAGAGACAAGTTGCATTCCTTGCAACTGGAGCCCAAGGCCGCTCCTACGATGCCCGCGGTGAGGCACTTTCTCGGGTCTCTCGGAGCTGACTCGAAGCTTTAGTGGGCCGTGGCTTGGTCCATGGCGTGGGCGGACTTGGCTAGGCTCGGATTCGGGGACTCGGCAGGCGGCCTTCGACGGCCGGGATGCCGCGGGCTTCAACGGCTTCGGTCTGGAGCGCAGTTGTTTCTGTGCCCGGAATTGGCTTTGTCTCACACTCTGGCAGAGTTTTGGGGAAGTGGAGACAACGTCGTGTGTTTGCTTGGAGCAAAGTGCTGAGGTGCTGGAGCTGATCCCTTCGACATGTTCAGGAGTGAAACCGCCCGCGCCGGGGGGCAGGTCGCTTTCTTGAAGCCGGTGCGTGCAGGAGCATGTTCGGACAGAACTTCGGCTTTGGCCAGCAGCGTACGCCAGATGTGGGCTGCATGCTCAGACATCGCTGGCTCCCTCATGAGTTTTTCAGATTGAAGAGATTCGGATCTTGTGAAATCAAGGCTACGAAGTGGAGGCAACGATGGAGGCTGGTTGAGGAATGTTGTGGACATCTGTGTGACATACGTCAAATATTTCTCCAGGAGCTGTACGCCGGCTTCAGCCGCAACCTCTCATACGAACGGGACACGCAGAGCCAGATTTGCGTCGAAGCTTTTTCCCCTAGCGAAAGCTATGGGGTCCCAGCCCATGGATTGGGGGCGGGTCGGATTCCCGAATCCACCGTTTCCGGCAGGTGTTCGATGTTGGGGATTGCATTTGCCAGTCCGAGCCTCCGAATCCGGCCCCAGGACGCCGTGTGCCGTAAATGCAAGGGCATGGGTGGCACAGATGTGCGCCACTGTTGCCCGGCAGCAGATGAAACGAGGGAGAAAACAGAAAAGAAAGAGAAAACAAAGAGAAGCGAAAGAGAGAGTGAGAAGAGAGAAAAAAGGGAAGAGAGAGATCCTCATACTGAAGGCAAAATGTGGACCTGTTCGTCATACGTAGGGGAAATGCAGCAGCCCCTACTGCAGTGTTCTGGTACGAGGGCTTTGTAGCAAAGGGCTGTCAGCAGCAAGCAGTCTTGGCTTGAGCCCTTTGCCTGGGCAGGTGCTCGCTGTCGCGGAATGGGCGTCGTTGTGGAAGAACACCAGGCAAGTTCCAGTGGTGATTGCCGACCCAGAATGACATAGGCTTAAAGTGGATCAGTCCTGTCAAACTGATGAGAGATGCTGCTTGGCCGTGAATTTGAGTGTAGGGCAGATGTTCTATGAGAGGGTCAGCCGTTTGTCCCGCTTTGCCAGCTGGGGCCGGGCTATGTCCAGCGCATGCAGCGAACCTGCGGCGCTTGCATGGGCCAGGGGCGGCAGGCAGGGTCTGGGCACATAGCGGCAACCAGCGCAAGGCCTAAGGCGGTGAGGCCGGCGGTTTTTAGCTCTGGGGCTTTTCTTCCCCATTCGCTTTTGTGATTTCTGTTTTGCTAGGAAGAAAGCACGTTGCACTGGGTCAGTTTGACATTAGCACTTAGGAATCCATTTCGATCTTAGCATTGTGGGTGTACCTGGAATGTTTGAGACTTCGCATGGCTGAGGGGAGACCCATGCATACTGGGTATTGGACATAGGGAAGGGTGCCGCTGGGCTGTGCCGCTGGGCTGTGCCGGGCTTTCTTTCAGCTGCAGATCGCAATCTTCAAACGGTCTTGCATGGCGAAGGGCGAAGCATGGTGTTAGTGACCACTTGCAGGTCCGTGACGTTTGTAGCTCCTGCCGTGGGGCGGGCTTCATGAAGGAGAAGGCAACAGATTCGCTCGAGGTTTCATGCTGTCCCAACAGCGACAGCTATGGGGTCCTAGCCAATCATGAGCTTGGAGCTTGCCCTGGAGGTGTCTGGGCACTTTTTTTTGGATACTCCTTTGGCTCAAGCAGCATTGTGGCTTGCAGCTTTGACGCGGGTAACCATGGACCATGCATTTCTCCTCGCCACCCTTCCGCTCGAGCCTTCACGAAAATGGGTGACTTGCTTTCGGAAGCTGCCCGGTGCTCGTTGCTCACCACACAAAATCGGGGCCCCGATTCTTGGTGCCAAGAGTTCAATCTGTAGAGGTGCGGGTTTGTCAGGGCCGCCGACCCGTGCAGGTGTCGGACATGGGCCATGTGGTCCTGAGCCTATGGCAAAACCTTTGGGCAGGGCTTTGCCAGCCTTAGCTTTGGTGGTGCAGGGATAGTGTCAGGTCCAAGTTGCTCCACTGACCTTGTGAGCGCTGAGCATGGAGAGACCTGCTCGCTGACTGATGCTGCTGCTTTGCTGGCTCACTATGTGGTCAACGTGAGTCATCCTAAGATGGGGCACAGATTCAGAACTTCCCGGTGGTGGCCAAGAAACCACGTCGCCGGGAACACGAACAGCAGGTGACTCCGACGAAGCGTTCCCAGCTCCTGAACCTCTTTACTCAGCTGAAGATGCCATTCAAGCATGCTTTCAAGCAGAGCAAAGACAGTTTTCCGCCAAGCTGTGGTTCTCTCTTGCCAGACCATTTATCCATGGTTTTTCAGTGCACTTAAGCTGTCGAAGATCTCCAGGCATTGCGCAGCACAGCTGCTTGCTGCGTGCTGTGTGCTGGATGGTATGGGAGTAGTTTAGGGATGAACGCATGGGATGAACGCATGTAAGTGCCGCCGGACAGTGAATTTGTCAGCGAAGGATCTTGATGCGAGCGCGTCAGATCAAATCCAGACGCACGTGGTAACGTGATTATCAGGTAGGTCCAGATACTTATAGCTACTCAGGTTTTTCCCATGGATCCAAAGTGTGCCGACATTTTTTTTTATTTTATTTTTTATTATTGCCTTTTCTTCCCTGGGTGAATCTTCAAAGGAACCAGGCCCAGAAGGGGTTTGGGAGCAGAGCACCTCACCAGGATGCCAGGGCTCAAACCAGGCTCATAGTCGGAAGAGCGTAGCACTTTGTTCAGCGCCGGTGCCATGGTTTCTGTTTTCATGCAGATGGGCAAGGTGATCCACAGTGACACAGAGAGCACAGTGGCTGCAGAGTCACCGCGCTCCAGTGCTTCGACAGAGCCAGTGCAAGAGGAAGTTGAGGAGATATGCTCTTGCAACGTTGTTGTGAGGAGTACCTTCATAGACTTTGATGATGCAAGCATGGCTCTCTGCTACAGGAAGCTCCGGCGGTTTGCCACGGATAGCGTTCTGGCAAGAGTCTTGGATGTACCGGCAGCGTACGAGCCAGGCAAGTTCAGTGACCAGCAAGATGAAGACGAAGCTCGAAGGCGCATTGCTGCCAAAGTGGCAACGCAGGAAGCTCAGGGCAGGGTGGTGGTTGAAGAGCCCAAAATCAAGCCCAGAGATGCCGGGCGTGACGCCCCGAAACAGAGTGCGCCAGCTGAGAGGACCACCGTGATGCTGCGCAATGTTCCCAACAACTACACTCGCGAGATGCTTCTGACTTTGCTCGACGAGCAAGGTCTGGCAGGGTGCTATGACTTTGTGTATTTGCCCTGCGACTTCTACCGTGCTGCAAACCTCGGCTATGCCTTTGTAAACATGGTGGATGGCACTGCGGTGGATGCTGTTTGGAAGGCGCTGGATGGGTTCTCGGAATGGTCGATGCCAACGAGCAAGGTCTGCCAAGTGGGCTGGAGTGGTCCACACCAAGGATTTAAAGCTCACATAGATCGGTACCGAAACAGCCCAGTCATGCACAAGAGCGTTCCTGATGAGTACAAGCCTGTCATTTTCAAGGATGGCCAGCGCAAAGCCTTCCCTCGGCCGACCAAGAAGGTCAAAGCGCCTTCAGGCGCTTGCAAGTGAGCGCTGAGGTCGGCGGCAGAGGCCTACCAACATTCGGATGCTTCGCAGCCGATTTTGTGCAATTTTGAACCTGGAATCTGGTTGCATCTTCATCTCCAGCCCGTGGACATTGAGCTTCCTAAGAGGAACATGTAGAGGCCATTGAACGTGTACAGGCAATCATGTGGTTGCACGCGCTGCAAAGGCAGCGCCAGGAAGGTGGGTGTAAGAGCATTTGTACAGCGCTGGGTTCAGATGGCCGGCATTCATCAGCTGCTTGCCGGCCGAGATCTTGAGCTTTGTGAATGCAGAGCCAAAAGACCCTCAAAGCAAGACACACACACACACACACTGACCAGTGTCGAGGCCATTTTTACGCCTGTGGCTGTGAGCGGGCTGGCGCCGAGTACTTCAACACACAACCGTCAAGTGTGAAACTCATTTCAGATGTCAAACCCTTTCGAGATAGTGGGTACTGTTGTTATGCCTCCACCTCCCCTTGCATCCTCCTCCAAATCTTCCAGCGTAGGAGGGGCCGCGCTGGCAAACCGGTGCCAAGAAAGGAACGTCCCAAGGAATGAGCCTCCCGTCACGGAAAACACTGTTGGTACAGGGGTCAAACTCATACACACATGCAGGGAACTTCTCCACATTGCGCAGCATCAGCCGATCTTGGCGATTGGCTCCGCGCAGAAGGCGAATGGATTCTCGAATCACCAGCTCTTCCCGGCTCCCTTGCCCGCTTGAAAGTGATTTGCCTGCTGCCGCAGCCTGTGCTGCTTGTCTCTTTGTCACCGTTGTGCCCTTGATGGGACGGTCACTCCGGGGATATTGCACCAGGATGCCAGGGCTCAAACCAGGCTCATAGTCGGAAGAGCGTAGCACTTTGTTCAGCGCCAGTGCCATGGTTTCTGTTTTCGTGCAGATGGGCAAGGTGATCCACAGTGACACAGAGAGCACGGTGGCTGCAGAGTCACCGCGCTCCAGTGCTTCGACAGAGCCAGTGCAAGAGGAAGTCGAGGAGATATGCTCTTGCAACGTTGTTGTGAGGAGTACCTTCATTGACTTTGATGATGCAAGCATGGCTCTCTGCTACAGGAAGCTCCGGCGGTTTGCCACGGATAGCGTTCTGGCAAGAGTCTTGGATGTACCGGCAGCGTACGAGCCAGGCAAGTTCAGTGACCAGCAAGATGAAGACGAAGCTCGAAGGCGCATTGCTGCCAAAGTGGCAACGCAGGAAGCTCAGGGCAGGGTGGTGGTTGAAGAGCCCAAAATCAAGCCCAGAGATGCCGGGCGTGACGCCCCGAAACAGAGTGCGCCAGCTGAAAGGACCACCGTGATGCTGCGCAATGTTCCCAACAACTACACTCGCGAGATGCTTCTGACTTTGCTCGACGAGCAAGGTCTGGCAGGGTGCTATGACTTTGTGTATTTGCCCTGCGACTTCTACCGTGCTGCAAACCTCGGCTATGCCTTTGTAAACATGGTGGATGGCACTGCGGTGGATGCTGTTTGGAAGGCGCTGGATGGGTTCTCGGAATGGTCGATGCCAACGAGCAAGGTCTGCCAAGTGGGCTGGAGTGGTCCACACCAAGGATTTAAAGCTCACATAGATCGGTACCGAAACAGCCCAGTCATGCACAAGAGCGTTCCTGATGAGTACAAGCCTGTCATTTTCAAGGATGGCCAGCGCAAAGCCTTCCCTCGGCCGACCAAGAAGGTCAAAGCGCCTTCAGGCGCTTGCAAGTGAGCGCTGAGGTCGGCGGCAGAGGCCTACCAACATTCGGATGCTTCGCAGCCGATTTTGTGCAATTTTGAACCTGGAACATGTAGAGGCCATTGAACGTGTACAGGCAATCATGTGGTTGCACGCGCTGCAAAGGCAGCGCCAGGAAGGTGGGTGTAAGAGCATTTGTACAGCGCTGGGTTCAGATGGCCGGCATTCATCAGCTGCTTGCCGGCCGAGATCTTGAGCTTTGTGAATGCAGAGCCAAAAGACCCTCAAAGCAACACACACGCACTGACCAGTGTCGAGGCCATTTTTACGCCTGCGGCTGTGAGCGGGCTGGCGCCGAGTACTTCACACACACACAACCGTCAAGTGTGCAACTCATTTCAGATGTCGAACCCTTTCGAGACAGTGGGTACTGTTGTTATGCCTCCACCTCCCCTTCCATCCTCCTCAGAATCTTCCAGCCTAGGAGGGGCCGCGCTGGCAAACCGGTGCTTCCGGTGGTATTTGCCCAAGAAAGCAACGTCCCAAGGAATGAGCCTCCCGTCAGGGAAAACACTGTTGGTACAGGGGTCAAACTCATACACACATGCAGGGAACTTCTCCACATTGCGCAGCATCAGTCGATCTTGGCGATTGGCTCCGCGCAGAAGGCAAATGGATTCTCGAATCACCAGCTCTTCCCGGCTCCCATGCCCGCTTGAAAGTGATTTGCCTGCTGCCGCAGCCTGTGCTGCTTGTCTCTTTGTCACCGTTGTGCCCTTGATGGGACGGTCACTCCGGGGATATCGCACCAGGATGCCAGGGCTCAAACCAGGCTCATAGTCGGAAGAGCGTAGCACTTTGTTCAGCGCCAGTGCCATGGTTTCTGTTTTCGTGCAGATGGGCAAGGTGATCCACAGTGACACAGAGAGCACGGTGGCTGCAGAGTCACCGCGCTCCAGTGCTTCGACAGAGCCAGTGCAGGAGGAAGTTGAGGAGATATGCTCTTGCAACGTTGTTGTGAGGAGTACCTTCATTGACTTTGATGATGCAAGCATGGCTCTCTGCTACAGGAAGCTCCGGCGGTTTGCCACGGATAGCGCTCTGGCAAGAGTCTTGGATGTACCGGCAGTGTACGAGCCAGGCAAGTTCAGTGACCAGCAAGATGAAGACGAAGCTCGAAGGCGCATTGCTGCCAAAGTGGCAACGCAGGAAGCTCAGGGCAGGGTTGTGGTTGAAGAGCCCAAAATCAAGCCCAGAGATGCCGGGCGTGA